TCCCAGGCAGCAGAGAGACCCATTCCTAGGCAGCAGAGAGACCCATTCCCAGGCAGCAGAGACCTATCTCAGAGGTCCTCGCACCTCTGATAACAAATCAGCCAGGAGGTAAGGTGGAGAGAGGAGTGTCCTACCAGGTCCCAGGAGGCTGTTTAGTTCCTGGACTTCTTGCTAAGGACTACCTGTCCCACCCTTCATGGGTAGCTGAGGTCAGGGAACCTGTGGGGACAAGACTGGTTTTCTTTTAAATGCTAATCTGCTGACTAACCATTAGTCTGGGAATACCTCCAAAATGTCAAGCTGACCTATTTTTTTGAGACAGAGTCACTCTTTTACCCAGGCTGGAGTGCAGCAGCACGATCTGGGCTCACTGAAATCTCTGCCTCCTGGGTTTAAGCGATTCTCCTGTCTCAGCCTCCCCAGTAGCTGGGTTTACAGGTGTGTGACACAACGCCTGGCTAAATTTTTATATTTTTGGTAGGGACGGGGTTTCACCCTGTTGGCCAGGCTGGTCTCAAACTCCTGACCTCAGGTGATCTACGCAGCTCAGCCTCCCAAAGTGCTGGGATTCCAGGCATGAGCCACCACGCCCGGCCCTGACGTGTTACCCTTTATGTAGAAGCATCTCTTCACTGTAAGTTTTTGCTATAACCACCTTTGTACTCTTCCAGAAAGCAGACGCTGTGATGCCCCCAACCACCTGGACATTCCTTTCAGAACATGCATACTTTTTTCCCACGACACAAGCCCTGGGTCTGGTACCCTGCAGTGCCCAGACCTCCGTTTCACAGGTAGACCATGGGGTCACTTTACGTATGACTTTCTCAGCACTGAATCCCTGACCTCCTTTTTGCAGGTCTTGATCTGCCAGCCATCCCCTTCCCCATCACCATCCTGTTCCCAAACCCCTGGTCTCTGCCCCTGGCTACGGATTCACCTACACCCACGCCTGAGTAGCCCTGGGGCCTTCAGCCCTGCAGCTGCTGGGGTAGAGGGTGGGCAGGTCTGCCCTGAGCCAGCCTCTCCTCCTTCCTCCACTCCTTTGGGAAAGGACCCAGATCCCAGGGAAGAGAAGCTGCCAATCACCTAGGTAACGCGGACACCTTTCTCATGGCTCTCTATACCTGCCCCATGTGGGATGCTGGGACTTAGCACGGACAGCGCAAACAGTCTCCGTCCTCCTGGAGAATGCCTATGGGGTTATCCAGGGAAGACAGGGAGGGAGGGAATCTGGCCTGGTTTGGGGGACACTGCTCCAGCATCCCAAGTACCCCTCCAAAACCGCCTGCGTCATCACATCTGAGCTTCCAGGTGGGTGGGCTCCTGTGGCCACACCCACCCCACAGCATCAGTGTCTGTGTCCCACCAGGCTCAGGGCCGGGAACCTGGGACCTGGGACCCAGGACCAGGTGAGCCGACATAAGTATGATTGCACTAGTCAGTCTCATGCCCAGAGCTAAGCAGGAGCAGGGCCAGCCCAGAAGAGACGATGTTACCAACTCCTATCCCCTCCTGTCTAGTGTTTAGAGTACCCCCACACTGGCCTGCTTCCTACAGTCACTCTGGGAGGAATGTCTGCCAGGGACCCTGACCTCTGATCCAAGCATGTGAGGGTCTGCCTGGCCTAGCTGGGCCTGTGCACCCCATCATTACCTCCCTTCAGATAGGGCAAGGAGTTTCGAATTAGGGAGTGATGTCATAGTGGGGAGTGGAGGTGCGGTGGCAGAGACAGGGAGGCTCAGGAAGGAAGCCAGGTCTGTCATAGAGTTGTGGGGGAGGGGAAGGAAAATGGCAGGGTAGAGAACAGGAAGGGGTGAAGGAAAGGGGAAAAGTGCATGGAAGAGTACTTCTTGCCCACAGTGGGGTGGGATGGAGACTACAACCTCAAGTGCTTTTCTGCAGGGGACAGGCAAGTAACACATATAAAACATGCCGAGTCAGGGATGCAACAGGGAGTGTCCCTGTTTCTATGTCCCGGACAGCCACTACTTGACAAATTGCTGCCAGAGATCCAATGTTGCAGCATCTTCTGACATAAATAATAAAGCAGGCGGGGTGTGGTGACTCATGCCTGTAATTCTACCACTTAGGGAAGCTGAGTCTGGTGGGGGAGGAAAGGGCCGGGGCAGGGGACCATTTGAGCCCCCGAGTTCAAGACCAGCCTGCAACCCAGTGAGACCTTGTCTCAAGTTTAAAAAAAAAAAAAGCAAACAACAAACCAAACCCCAGAAATTGACTGTGATGTGCAATCTCCTTATTTAAATGTTGGCTCTTTAACAAAATTTAAAAGGCGGCTGGGAGCAGTGGCTCACCCCTGTAATCCCAGCACTTTGGGAGGCTGAGGCGGGCAGATCATGAGGTCAGGAGTTCAGTCCAGCCTGACTAACACGGTGAAACCCTGTCTCTACTAAAAATACAAAAATTAGTAGGGTGTGGTGGTATTTGTCTATAATCCCAGCTGCTCAGGAGGCTAAGGCAGAATCGCTTGACCCCGGGAGGTAGGGGTTGTGGTGAGCTGAGATCAAGCCACTGCACTCCAGCCTAGGCAACAAGAACGAGAATCCGTCAAAAATTTAAAAATAAATAAAAATAAAAACGCCAGGTGAGGTGGCTCATGCCTGTAATCCCAGCACTTTGGGAGGCCATGACCAGAGAACACTTGAACTCAGGAATATAAGACCAACCTGGGCAATACAATGAGACATTTTCTCTACAAAACATTTTTTAAAAATAAAAAAATTAGCCAGGTGTGGTGATGTATGCCTCTAGGCTCAGCTCCTTGGGAGCTAAGATGGGAGGATCACTTTAGCCCAGAAGGTTGAGGCTGCAGAGCCAGGCCTGCACCACTGCACTCCAGCAAGGCTGACAGAGTGAGGCTCTGTCTCAAAAATAAATAAAAATAAACAGGCATGGTAGCTCACACCTGTAATTGCAGCACTTTGGGAGGCTAAGGCAGGAGGACCACTTGAGCCTAGAAGTTTGAGACCAGCCTGGACAACACAATGAAACCTCAAGAGTAAAGATGTTGGCTTGTTTGAAAACACACACACATGTGAGAGCCAAAACTGTTTCTCTCCTCCGGCCTGGGGGGCTAGGTCACAAGCTTGGACAGTGAGGCTGCTTCTAAACCCAGCACAGGGCACAGTGGATGCAGGGCACGGGATAAACTCCTGTGGGATTAAGCCCGTCCCTCTGCTTCTGGTCAGAACATGTTTTATGCAATTGGAGAGGAGAGGGGTCCCAGGAATACCTGCCCTAATGTGAGAAATTAGCTTACAGGTCTCTGAAAGGGATTCTGTAAAACAGTCCTCCCTCCCATCCCCACCTCTACCCATACCTAACACTTCACATCCCTTCCCCTTTAGTAGCTCCTACTCTAGTGGATAGTGTCCTGGACACAGAAGGCCTGATAAAAGAAGGCAAAGTTTTGGGGCAGCAGACTTGATCCCTGGACTGACGGTAGGACTGTCCCACACGGGTGGGCATTAGGCCCCGGAAACAGACAACTCCCTCCGCTACCTGGGAAGGGAAGGACCTCAGAGCTTGGCCTCTTCTCTGAGCAGTTAGGTAGGTGCTTGGGAAGCCTCCCCCTGGCTCCCACCTACAGGCATTTTTACCAGTAGACATACGTTTGGGCAATACCCACGCAAAAGGGCCACATTCAGTTCCCAATGTCCAGGCCCAAGCGACTCTTCACCCCTCTTCCCTCTATTGACAGAGGAGCAGAAAAGGAGCCCGGGGAACTTGGGAGGGAAGGGGAAAGGGCAGACGACAAACCCTGGGCCTCTTACCCTGCCCAGGGATGCAACGAAGCCACCCCTGAACTCAATATACAAGTCTTTTCCCAGGCCCCCACCACACAGCATCACCCATAATGATCGTCCTCACGTGTTGAGAGGTCTTTCTGAGGGTTCACACAACCCAGGGCTCATGCAATGGTCCCAAGTTCAAATTCTCCGACTCCTCTGCTAGAACACAGGCTCCCTCATGGTTCCCTCTGGAGATTAGGAATGTCCCGCCCATCCCCTGCCATGGCACTCCTCACAGGGGCTTGCCTGATTTCTGGTCCCATTCCTCTGGGAAGAGGTAGCTGTTGCTCTAGGTGTGATTAATCCCATCACTCCCTAGGCCTGTGAAGGATAGGGTCAGCCACTGCCCTGCCAGAGGTATCCCTACATCTGCAGGTGGCTGGGTGCGTGCCGCACAGCTCCTGCCATCCCCAAACTCTTCCTTCAGCTGGCTGACGTTCTGATTTTGTAGCTTCGAAGAACAAACATAAGCCCTCCTTAGCTAGTTGGGCTCTTTGAAGGCAGTGATCACAACTCCAGTGTTCTGATTCTTCCAGACTGCGGCTCCTTTTTAAAAAAAAAAAAAATTAAATTTTATTATTTCCTTGAGACAGAATCTCTTTCTGTCGCCCAGGCTGGAGTGCAGTGGCACGATATTCGCTCACTGCAGCCTCTACCTCCTGAGGTTCAAGTGAGTCTCCTGCCTCAGCCTCCCGACTAGCCGGGATTACAGGCGCAAGCCAACAAGCCTTTTTTTTTTTTTTTGGTATTTTTAGTAGATATGGGGTTTCATTATGTTGACCAAGCTGGTCTTGAACTGCTGGCGCCTCCAGTGATCTGCCAGCCTTTTCTCCCAAAGTGCTGGGAAAACAGGCATGAGCGACCATGCCCAGCCCACACAGGGGTTCCTTGACTCAGCAGAGAGTTGGGCAAAAAGATGTAGAGCCCGCAACAAAATCAACAGGGGAGCAGAAGGGGGTCTGCTTAGAGATCCTGGTTCCTTCCCTTTCCTTGAGGTCGGAACCAAAGTCAGAGCCGAAGTTTCAGCTAAAACTGAAGCCATCTGCAGAGGCTGCTGCCCTTATGCGTCCACTGGTGCTGGCCCAGGCTGGAGCTTTGGGCTAACTCTGCCACACTCCAGGCGGACGCAGGGCTTCTCACAGCTGTGGGCCACCTAGTGGACAAGCAGGTAGCTCTGGCCGAAGCTCTGGCCACATAAGCATCAGGCTTCCGGTCTGTGTGACTGTGCTGGTGCCGCAGCAGATTCCAACTATGCACAAAACTCTTGCTATAAAAAAGGCACTTAGAGGTCTTTTCACCCGTGTGGAGCGCTAATGCTACAACAAGTTGGAGCTAAGGCTGAGGCTCTTGCAGCAGTCCCCTGAGCAGTAAGGCTTTTAGCCGGTGTGTGCGCGCTGGTGCTGGATCAGGTTGGAGCGGAGGCTGAAAGTCTTCCCACATTCGGCACAGCTGCAGGGCTGAAGCAACGGCCACACTCCGGGCACGGGTATGGTTTTTCACTGGTGTGTACCCGCTGGTGCTTAACCAGATCACAGCCACGTCGGAAGCTTTTGCCATACTTCGCACAATGGTAAGACTTGCCTTGGTGGTGAATGAAGCCGGGGAGGCAGGCTGTGGTCAGCCCACACTTCTCGGCACTCGCAGGGTTTGGGGCTTGTAGACGGCTGCTGTTGGCAAAAGCTTCTTCCTCCCCAGGGTCCGAGCTTGACCATTTTCCGGGTGGGGAGCTGCCCCGGCCACACCCGGAAGGGCCGCTCAGGCGGAGCCACCTCGCACTCCAGGGGTGACCTGGGGGCTCCCCGGGATGCGAACGTCCCGCTCCTCCGCTGCTCCGCCCCGTCTGGATTCTGCCTCGCCACTTCTGGCGCCGCCGACTGCACCGCGGGTGAAGAGCGCCCCATTTCCTAGACGCCAGCTACTGAGCTCACAAGCACGCCCAGAGCGGAGGACACTCGGGACCCTGGGGTCCAGCTCCGGAAACGGAAAATTCCACAAGCCCATGTCACTCTAGGAAGCGGCAACAAACGGTCTCGGTAGGTTTAACCCTCTCCTTCCCCTGACCGAGCAAGGGCTCCCCATCTGCCGAGCGGTCACGACCCAACACTTTTCAACCTGGCTCGGGGTTATCGGAGTCCGTCCCAGGGGAGGGCCCCGCCACCGCTGGGGGGCAGCGAAGCGAGCCTGGAGGAGGAAAGGCGGTCACCGTCAAGCGCACGCCGAGGGCGGAGCACGACACGAAGGCTCCGTGGTCGGACGTCAGGGCTGCCTGGAGGCCCCAGCCCACCTGGAGGGCCCTGAAGAGTCTCCAGCGCGTCCCGAGGTAGGCGTGCGAGGCTGGGCGCGGAACACACCTCCCGCATGCTCCGCCCCCGTGTCCCACGTCGCGCAGCGACTAGGTTACCGCAGTGCTTCCTGTGCAAGGACAGACTTCCTGGTTCGAGAACTACAACTTCCGACTCGCACAGCTGCGGCGACGTTATTTAAACAGCGTCAGCAAGGCGCTGCCCAGCGACTCCCCTGTCTTCCAGTTCCGCTCCCTGGGATCTGCGGCGAGAGGCGGGGCGGAGTTTGAGGCCCGAGCCAAGATGGCGGCTGCGAAGCCAACCCTCACGGACTCGCTCTCGTTCTGCCTCGCGCAGCTCACGGCGGCGACCGGGGAGGGACTGGGTGGGGAAAAGGACCCAGCTACCAACGAGACACCCCTGGGCTGCGCGCTCCTAGCCCTCCGCACTCGCCACATCAAGGCAGCAGGGGGAATCGAGCGCTTCCGGGCACGCGGCGGGCTCCGCCCCCTTCTCGCGCTGCTACGGCGAGCGGCTGCATCGGGTCCCGCCCCGTCCCAGGATGGCCCCGGCTCCGCCCCCTCGTCGGTCGCGTCAGCAGCTTCTAGCCCCGCCCCCGCATCGGGCCCCGCCCCCTCCGCTGTGTCGTCGACTCCTTCGCCACCAGTGCGCCTGCGCAAGACGCTGGACTTGGCGCTCAGCATCCTAGCCGACTGCTGTACGGAAGGGGCGTGCCGGGCCGAAGTGCGCAGACTCGGAGGTATCCTCCCGCTGGGTAAGTGCTCCGCCCTTGTTTCCTAGAAGGATTTGGTGTGCGGCTCTCTAGCTCTAGCCTTCCTGGGCAGTCTGGAGTTCTTTGTGTCATATCCCGGAATAACGTGCTTTAGGATGGCGCAGCGCTGCTGTTTCTCAAGCTGTTGTGTCCCATGATGTCACTGTTCTCTCTATAGATTATTCCCGACCCCTCCCAGATTAGATAATGACAGCCATTATGTAGGAATTGGTTGTTGAGGACTTTTGAACTGAGCTGAACTATCGGAGGCCAAACGGTTATTTGGTAACTTTTTCAGTTGATTCATATCCTCCAGTTATGATGTTCATAGCAGACGTTCAATGCCCACTGTGTGTCTAGCCCTGTGCAAGGCTCTGAAGCCCTACTGATGACCTGGAAGGTGTAGTGGTTCTCAAAGGGATTTCTGCAAAAGTCACCTAACCCTTCCGAGGCTAGAATTCCTTGTAAAATGGGGCAGTAATAGCAGCCTCAAAAAATCGGAGTGGTGAGAAAACGAAGTACAAATATAGCACGAATATTCCTTGACATGTACAGGTAAAAAAAAAAAAAAAAGACAAATATAGTACGATAAAAATATTCTAAGCACAGCTACTTCAAGTTATTAAAAACTAGCACAAGCCGGGCGCAGTGGTGAGCGCTTGTAGTTCCAGCTACTTGGGAGGACGAGGCGGGAGGATCACTTGAGCCCAGGAGGTCGAGGCTGCAGTGAACAATGACTGTGCCTGTACTCCAGCCTCGGCAACATATCATCTATTAGAAAACCAAACAAACCAGTAGTCCTAGGGAGCAGGAAAAAATAAATAAAAATAATAAAACCCAGCACCGTAAGAACAAATCTTAGCAAAAGAAAAGCTTTTCTGTTTACCAACTAAATTGGTGCCTCCTAGTGGCAATGCGTGAAAGCAGTTTACATGTCACTAACTGCCCTCCACGAAATTACGCTAGTTTTGATGACATCTTAACTTTTTGGATAAAGAGGAACATTAGTGTATTTAAAATTTATATAAAATGTTTCTGGACTGTAATATGTTTGACAGGAGGCTCGATTATTAAGTAACCTCCATCATTCACCGACTATTTTAAATATCTTCTGACTCCATCTGCTTTTCTGTCTTCCTACTTCCACTTTGTGCCCAGAGACTGGTACCTTTGTGCTGTGTGATGCTGGTAGCTGGGTTAGTTCAAGCCATTGTCTCTTCTTGCTTGGACTATTATGACAGCCTTTTGACTCCTCCCCCGGTCCTATTCTTTCCCCTGTAATACATTCTCCCTATGGATGCCAGATTGTACCATGTCACTCCCCTTCATAAAATCCTTGCGTGGCCCCCAGTGCCTTCACATTCAAGCCCTTGGCCTGGCATCTGGAGCCTTTCACAGACACTACATCTTACCCCTGGGCCTTTGCAAAGGCTACTTCCAAACCTGAAATGCCTTCTCAGACCCCATCCACCGTGTTTCTAGCATATACCTCCCTGTGTACCCCTCCAGACCCAGCTCAAGTGCTAGCCTCTTCTCTTTGTTTTTGAGATAGAGTCTTGCTCTGTTGCCTAGGCTGGAGTGCAGTGACGTAATCTCTGCTCACTACAACCTCTGCTTCCCGGATTCAAGCAGTTCTCGTGCCTCAGCCTCCTGGGTAGCTGGGATTACAGGCATGCACCACCATGCCCAGATAATTTTTGTAGTCTTAGGAGAGACAGGATTTGGCCTTGTTGGCCAGACTGGTCTCGAACTCCTGACCTTAGGTGACCCACACACCTTGGCCTCCCAAGTGCTGGGATTACAGGTGTGGGCCCCTGCACCCTGCTGAGCATTAGCCCCTTCTGCAAGCCTTCCCAGCTCTCTCAGGCCACATTCTCCAGGTGATTGATGGGAGAGACAATAAGGGGTAGAATCCTCATGAGCCCAAACTCTCCTTGCAGTGACCATTCTTCAGTGCATGAAGACAGACAGCATCCAGAACCGGACGGCCCGTGCCCTGGGGAACTTAGCCATGGAACCTGAGAGCTGTGGGGACATCCACTCTGCTGGTGAGACGCTGTGAGGGTGGGGTCAGCTAGGGCTCAGGGCGGAAGAAAGACTTGAGTATCTGTCCTTGTTCACCCTCTGTGCTCCCCTTTCCTGCCCTCCTCAGGTGCTGTTCCCCTGCTCGTGGAGAGCCTGACAGCCTGCCAGGACTCACTGTGCCTGCAGAACGTGGTGCGTGCCCTCCGCAACCTGGCGGACTCACCCCAGCACCGCCTGGCCCTGGCACAGCAGGGAGCAGTGCGCCCGCTGGCTGAGCTCCTGGCCACTGCCCCAGACGCTGCACTGACTTCAGCCCTTGTCCGTGCCCTCCTGGAACTCAGCCGAGGCTGCTCCCGGGCCTGTGCTGAGCAGCTTAGTCTGGGCGGGGGACTGGGCCCACTCGTCAGCCTGGCTTCCCACCCCAAACGGGTAATACGTGAGGCAACCATTCTGACCCTCGCCAACCTGTGTGCCCAGGGCTTGATTCGTCCTGCACTGGGCAATGCTGGTGGGGTGGAGGTGCTGGTACGTGAGCTCCGGCAGCGCCGGGGTCCCAGTGGAGCCAGCCCAGCCTCCCAACAGCCCCTGGTGCGGGCCGTGTGCCTCCTGTGTCGCGAGGCCATCAACCGGGCGCGGCTGCGGGATGCTGGTGGCTTGGATCTGCTGATAGGCCTGCTGCGGGACCCTCGTGCCAGCGCATGGCACCCTCGTATCGTGGCTGCCCTTGTGGGCTTTCTCTATGACACTGGGGCCCTGGGCCGGCTTCAGGCTCTGGGACTTGTGCCTCTCCTGGCTGGGCAGCTGTGTGGTGAGGCTGGCGAGGAGGAAGAAGAGGGAAGGGAAGCTGCTTCCTGGGACTTCCCTGAGGAGCGGACCCCTGAGCGGGCGCAGGGTGGAAGCTTCCGGAGCCTCAGGTGAGTCCCTGCTCCAAGGATTGGGAGAGTGAGCAGTGTGGTGACATGGGGTTTGTGTCTGTCCTGGCCCTCTTCACTACCTCCACCCCCATTCTGTCCGAATAAGACTTTTATTACCCAGACTCCTGATTGCCTGCCACGACAGAACCACCTGTCAGTTCCCATTTAACATGCTCCTCTCTCTTGGGTCTACCTTTTCTTTTTTTATGGAGACATGGTTTTACTCTGCTGCCGGGCTGGAGTGCAGTGGTGCCATCTACACTTACTGCAACCTCTGCCCCCTGGGTTCAAGCAATTCTCCTGCCTCAGCCTCCCAAGTAGCTGGGATTATAGGCGCCCACCACCACGCCCAGCTGATTTTTGTATTTTTAGTAGAAATGGGGTTTCACGGTGTTGGCCAGGTTGGTCTCGATCTTTTGACCTTATGATCCACCTGCCTCGGCCTCCCAAAGTGCTGGGATTACAGGCATGAGCCACTGTGCCCAGCTGGATCTACCTTTTTTTTTTTTTTTTTTTGAGACAGAGTGACGCTCTTGTTACCCAGGCTGGAGTGCAATGACACGATCTCGGCTCACCGCAACCTCCGCCTCCTGGGTTCAGGCAATTCTCCTGCCTCAGCCTCCTGAGTAGCTGGGACTACAGGCACGCGCCACCATGCCCAGCTAGTGTTTTGTATTTTTGGTAGAGACGGGGTTTCACCACGTTGACCAGGATGGTCTCGATCTCTCGACCTCGTGATCCACCCGCCTCGGCCTCCCAAAGTGCTGGGATTACAGGCTTGAGCCACCGCGCCCGGCGGATCTACCTTTTAACCTTCGTTCCACCCTGGCAGCTTTGAACTTTGGGACCCAGACAAGTTCACTGGGAGGTGGGCTGTACGCTGGTTAAGACAGTGGGCTTGCCGGGCGCGGTAGCTCAAGCCTGTAATCCCAGCACTTTGGGAGGCTGAGGCGGGTGGATCACGAGGTCAAGAGATCTAGACCATCCTGGTCAACAAGGTGAAACCCCGTCTCTACTGAAAATGCAAAAATATTAGCTGGGCATGGTGGCGCGTGCCTGTAATCCCAGCTACTCAAGAGGCTGAGGCAGGAGAATTGCCTGAACCCAGGAGGCGGAGGTTGTGGTGAGCCAAGATCGTGCCATTGCACTCCAGCCTGGGTAACAAGAGCAAAACTCCGTCTCGAAATAAATAAATAGATAAATAAAAAGACAGTGGGCTCTGGAGTTCAAATTCTTACTCTGTTCCCGTCATCACTCATGAGCTGAAGCATCACAGGACATCTGAGGAATTCTGGGAGTCTGAGTCCCTGTGTGTGATGTACATGCCCCATAGAGTTGTTGCAGAGATTTGAGGGTCCTTTGCCCCATGCCTGGCACTAAGCATTGCTCACTGGATGTCAGCCTTCTGGTGAGCTCTCTGTCTTCATCTCCGACCACTCCTACTGCCTGCAGCTTTCTTTCGCACTGATCTTCTAGCTAGTTTTTGCAGATGATAGGTGGGTATACTGTTTCTGGGCTGCTGTTCTCTCTGCCTAGACCACTCTTCCTCCCATCTGCCCTCCTCTCTCAGCTCCTTCAAGTCCTTATTGAGATCTTACCTTCTCAGTAGAGGCCACCATCATCACCCTGTTTAAAATTTCAACTCTCCCCTCCCCCAGCTTTTTATTTTATTTTATTTTATTTATTTTTTTGAGACAGTCTCACTCTGTCACCCAGGCTGGAGTGCAATGGCATGCTGTCGGCTCACTGCAACTTCCGCCTCCCGGGTTCGAGCAGTTCTCCTGCCTCAGCCTCCCAAGTAGTTGGGATTACAGGTGTGCACCACCATGCTCGGCTAATTTTTATATTTTTAAGTAGAGACCAGGTTTCACCATGTTGGTCAGGCTGGTCTCGAACCCCTCATCTTGTGATCTCCCCGCCTCAGCCTCCCAAAGTGCTGTGATTACAGGCGTGAGCCACTGTGCCCGGCCGGTTATTTTTTTTCTTAACATTAGCAATGTGGGGCGGTGGGTGGTGGGGGGGGGTCTCACTTTGTTAACCAGGCTGGTCTCGAACTCTTGGCTTCTAGTGACCCTCCTGGCTCAGCGTCTCAAAGTACAGGGATTACAGGTGTGAGCCACCACACCCAGCCCCCAGTGCTTCCTATTTCCTTTTTATTTTCTCCATGATACTTGTACTCCACGCTGGCCCCACACTAACATAACTCACGGTTCACTTATTTGTCTGCTTCCTCTCACTGGAACATAAACTCCAGGAGGACAGGCACTTTGTTCAGTGCTTCTACCCAGCACCCAAAGAAGGGCTTGGCACATGACAGGCATCAGTCATTGCTGAATGAGGTTTTGGTCTCATCCCTCCTCACTTGTTTCTTCCCTTTCTCCACTCTCCTCCTCGTCCTGGCTTTGCCTCCCTCCACGACAGCTTTTAGCTAATGTAGTGGTTCATGCCTGTAATTCTCCGGAAGCCAAGGCAGGAGGATTGCTTGAGCACTGGACTTAGAGACCAGGCTGGGCACCACAGCAAGACCCATATCCACAAAAAATTTTAAAAATTAGCAGAGTGTGGTAGTACACCCCTGTAGTGCCAGCTACTTGGGAGGTCGAGGTAGGAGGATTGCTTGAGCTCAGGAGTTCAAGGCTGCAGTGAGCCAGGATCCTGCAACTGCATTCCATCCTGAGCTACAGAGCCAGACCATGTTTCTTTTAAAAAACAACGAGGCCGGGTGTGGTGGCTCACGCCTGTAGTCCCAGCACTTTGGGAGGCCGAGGCGGGCAGATCACCTGAGGTTAGGAGTTTGAAACCAGCCTGACCAATACGGTGAAACCACATCTTAAAAAAAAAAAAAAAAGAAAAAAGGTGGCTCACGGGCCCTTGGATTCTGCCCCTTCACCTTGGCTCTCAGTTGAGTCTCCATCCCTTTCTGCCCTCCGCAGGTCATGGCTGATCTCCGAGGGCTACGCTGCCGGCCCTGATGACATCTCCCCTGACTGGTCTCCTGAGCAGTGTCCTCCGCGGGAGCCCGCAGAGCCGGCCAGCCCCGCCCCCAGCCCAACCTCCCTGCGGGCACCTCGCACCCAGCGCACTCCAGGCCGCAGCCCAGCCACCGCCATTGAGGAGCCTTGGGGACGCGAGGGGCCGGCCCTGCTGCTGCTATCACGCTTTTCCCAGGCCCCTGACCCCAGCGGGGCACTGGTGACCGGCCCGGCCCTGTGTGGCCTGCTGACCTATGTGACCGGGGCACCGGGTCCGCCCAGTCCACGCGCACTGCGCATCCTGTCGCGCCTCACCTGCAACCCCGCCTGCCTCGAGGCCTTCGTGCGCAGCTATGGCGCCGCGCTGCTGCGGGCCTGGCTGGTGCTCGGGGTCGCGCCGGACGACTGGCCAGCACCGCGTGCCCGGCCCGCTCTTCACAGCCGGCACCGAGAGCTGGGTAAGTTCCCATGCCCACCCGTCTCCCCTCCCCCGCGTGCGTTCCCACCCCTCCCCATGGCTTCCGTGGGCCCAGAACCTCAGCTTCCCACTCACATGTCCTCCCCAGCCTGTCCTCCAGACAGCCCATCGCCTGAGTGGGGTAGGGCTGGGAAGCAGTACGCTCCTGTCCGCCTGCCCACAGGCAGACTTCCGCTGCGTCCCCTGCCCAAGCCCCGGGCCCAGATCCCCTAACTCCAGATGCAGCCCCGGGCCGAGACCCACCTGTCTGTGCCTCTTTCCTGGCTCTTCCCTTGGTTCAGCGCTGCTCTGGCTGCTCCCCACGGGCACCATGACCACCCCCAGCGCGGCCAGGGACTGCCCTGTCTGCCGTGGCCTGACCGCAGGCTGCTTCCGGGGCCGGGACTTGCACCCTGACCGTCCCACCTTCTGTCCTTGTCCTGGACTTCAGGTTCCCAACGTCCCGACTCCAGCCCTCGCTCTTCAGTGCCCTGATTTCTGCCCCCGAGTTTTCACCCTCCTTCCTCTCACCGGCCCAGAGTCCTGGCTCACCCACCCCACCCGCCTCAGACCCCAGCTCCAGCCTGACAAGCTCTCCACCCGCAGGGGAGAGGCTACTGCAGAACCTGACGGTTCAGGCCGAGTCGCCCTTCGGGGTCGGGGCCCTGACGCACCTGCTGCTCTCCGGGAGCCCTGAGGACCGAGTGGCCTGTGCGCTGACCCTGCCCTTCATCTGCCGGTGAGTGGGAAGTGGGTGCCTTTCGGGGTGGGGGAACAGTGCTGTGTCTCCCAGGCTGAAAAGTGCTCTCTTCCCCGCAGGAAGCCCTCTCTGTGGCGCCGGCTGCTCCTGGAGCAGGGTGGCCTCCGCCTCCTCCTCGCAGCGCTGACCCGGCCGGCCCCACACCCGCTCTTCCTCTTCTTTGCGGCGGACTCCCTATCCTGCCTCCAAGGCCTGGTGTCTCCCACTCTGAGCCCAGCGCTCCCACCGGCAGTCCCCATGGACCTAGACCCACCGTCCCCTTGCCTCTACGAACCTCTGCTGGGCCCAGCTCCTGTCCCAGCTCCCGACCTGCACTTCCTGCTGGACTCAGGCCTCCAGCTCCCCGCCCAGCGAGCGGCCTCGGCCACCGCCTCCCCTTTCTTCCGGGCCCTGCTGTCGGGCAGCTTTGCTGAAGCCCAGATGGACCTGGTGCCCCTGCGAGGCCTGTCGCCTGGCGCAGCCTGGCCTGTCCTGCATCATTTGCACGGTTGTCGGGGCTGCGGGGCTGCCCTGGGGCCCGTGCCCCCGCCAGGCCAGCCCCTGCTGGGCTCAGAGGCCGAGGAGGCGCTGGAGGCCGCTGGCCGTTTTCTGCTGCCTGGGCTGGAGGAGGAGCTGGAAGAGGCCGTGGGCCGCATCCACCTGGGACCCCAGGGTGGCCCGGAGTCAGTGGGTGAGGTGTTCCGCCTGGGCCGGCCCCGGCTGGCTGCCCACTGTGCGCGCTGGACACTGGGGCCAGAGAAGTGCCCAAGGAAGCGGGCCCTGGCCCTGGTGGGGCTTGTGGAGGCAGCAGGTGAAGAGGCAGGGCCCCTGACAGAGGCTTTACTGGCTGTGGTGATGGGGATTGAATTGGGGGCAAGGGTCCCAGCCTAGACTGTTGACATCCCCTTGAGAAGGGGACCCAAGGATGAATTGGCTGTGAAGGAGCCTCCCTGAGATTGCCAAGGGAGGAGGCTGAGCAGAAGGCGTCGTCATGGAAGAGTGGTGAGAACGTGGAAGCGGACCCCAGGATGATGGTCTGAAGACCCAGGAGGAGAAGCCAAGGCCAGGGTCCGGGCGTGGGGCCCACAGAAGCAGAACAGCCCAGGGCCCCAGGTGCCCGGCCCAGCCCTCTGGAGTTGAGATTAAAAACTTTGGAGCTGGATACCTGTGTCGTGTGGTGTTTCTGCTTCTGTTCCTTGGGAAGATCCCCGTCCCTTCACCCACCGAGCAGGGTCTTATTCAGGTTTTTGTGACTGGACACAGACCATCCTTGCATGTGAGAGTTTAATAAGTATTGGGACAGGGTGGAGTTCCCAGGCTGTGGCTTAGGATGTGGTTTTGGGCCCCAGGGGAAGCCTGCTTCTTGCTGTCAGGGCCTCATTGCTCTGACATAGCCACCCAGCTGGACACACAGACCTTGCTCAGGGCTGAGAGGGTCGTGCTGAGGGACTGCTGTTAGCCTGATGATGTGTTGAAGGTCTTGGCATTACTTTTTTCTGGCCCATCTTGGGCCCCCATTGTCTGGCTCCCTTTTCCTCTCCTGGGCCACGAGTCCTACTGCTGTCTGCCTGGGGGAAGACCTGCTGTGCTTCTGGACTCTGAGCCCTGTCTTAATTGTGCCCAGAGACAGCCAAAGCCCTGTACTGGCATTCAGGAGAAGGAAGGGCTCACAATGCTTTGTCTCCAAGGCAGGGTCTCCATCACCTGGCTTCTAGATCTTTTTTCTTTTTTTTAACTATCATTTTGCTTTAGATTCGGGGGCACGTCCATGTGTGTTACATGGGTATATTGCGTACTGGTGGGGATTGGGTTTCTAGTGTGCCCATTACCCAAACAGTGATCACTGTGCCTGGTAGGTAATTTTCCAGCTCTTGCCCTACACCCACCTGCCTCCCTTTTGGAGTCCCCAGTATCTGTTATTTCCATCTTCATAGCCATGTGTACCTATTGTTTACCTCCCCCTTATAAAGGAGAACATGCGGTATTTGGTTTTCTGTTTCTGAGTTAGTTTCGTTAGGATAATGGCCTCCAGCTCCATCCATGTTGCTGCAAAGGACATGATTTCATTTTTTTTTTTTTTTTTTTTGTAACGGAGTTTCGCTCTTGTTACCCAGGCTGGAGTGCAATGGCGCGATCTCGGCTCACCGCAACCTCCGCCTCCTGGGTTCAGGCAATTCTCCTGCCTCAGCCTCCTGCGTAGCTGGGATTACAGGCATGTGCCACCATGCCCAGCTAAATTTTTTTGTATTTTTAGTAGAGACGGGGTTTCACTATGTTGACTGGGATGGTCTCGATCTCTTTTTTTTTTTTTTTTTTTTATTTGAGGCGGAGTTTCGCTCTTGTTACCCAGGCTGGAGTGCAATGGCGCGATCTCGGCTCACCACAAGCTCCGCCTCCTGGGTTCAGGCAATTCTCCTGCCTCAGCCTCCTGAGTAGCTGGGATTACAGGCACGTGCCACCATGCCCAGCTAATTTTTTGTATTTTTAGTAGAGACGGGGTTTCACCATGTTGACCAGGATGGTCTCGATCTCTCGACCTCGTGATCCACCCGCCTCGGCCTCCGAAAGTGCTGGGATTACAGGCTTGAGCCACCGCGCCCGGCTTGGTCTCGATCTCTTGACCTCGTGATCCACCCACCTCGGCCTCCCAAAGTGCTGGGATTACAGGCTTGAGCCAACGCGCCTGGCCTTGATTTCATTTTTTAAGGCTGTGTAGTATTCCGTGGTATATATGTACATTTTCCTTTTCCTTTTTTTTTTTTTAAGAGACAGGGTCTTGCTATGTTGCCCAGGCTGGTCTCAAACTCCTAGGTTCAAGCAATCCTCCTGCCTCAGTCTCCCAAAGTGCTGGGATTTACAGGCATGAGCCACTGTACCAGCCAACATTTTTATTCAGTCAACCATTGATGGATACTTAGGTTGGTTCTGTGACTTTGCTATTGTGAATAGTGCTGCAATGAACACAACTACAGGTGTCTTTAACATGATTTATTTTTCTGTGGGTAGGTACAGCTAGTGCTTGACTTACGACCACAATTGGTTCCGACAGACCGGTCGTAACACGATTTGGTCGTAAGTTGAGTAGGCTATATGTACGGTACTGTGAAATGATGTTATAAAAATCTTTGTCATATTTTATCATAATTTTTTTTCATTATGGGCCCGCTTCGTTGCTTTGTTATAACTGTTGATCGCATGGGTGCAGAACCTTTCACAGCATCACGAATTCTTTCTTTATCTTTCAGAATCGTCAACACAGTCGAGTGTGATAACTTCGTATCACGTGCGATCACATTCACTGTCTTTCCTCCTTCGTACTGCTTAATTACCTTCATTTTCGTGTTGAGATCGATGGCCTTTCTTTTCTTCTTGGCAGGCTGAGGCATAGACAAAGACAATTTCCTCTTTGTAGACATCTTGGGAGGGGTTTGATGAAAAATATCCAGAGACACAAAACACAAATTGCTGTACCGAGTCTGGGATAATAGTTGAAATGGTGCACGCGGAGATGGCGGTGCTGCCGGAAGCTGGTCCGCACTGTCGTATGCCCAGCTGGGCAACGTTTGCGCTGCCAGACGCGGAGCAGTCGTGGCTAGCGATTGTGGTCGTAAAGTCGAATGATCGTAAGTTGCATAGGTCGTAAGTCCATCAATACCGTACTCAGTTGTGTGATTTCTGGGTCAAATGGTAGTTCTAGTTTTAGGTCTTTGAAAAATTTCCTTACTGTTTTCAGTAAAGGTTGAGCTAATTTACATTCCCACCAACATTGTGTAAGTATTCCCTCTTCTCCACATCCATGCCAAGCTGTTGTATTTTGACTTTTTATTAATTGGTTGCAGATGGAGAGCTGAGGTTGGCGCTTGCTGTCTGATCCTCTGTGAGTGTTGGTCCGGGTCTCTGGTTTTCAGGCTATGCATTAGAACCAAACAGAGAGCTTTGAAAAACTATCCATGTGGTCAAGGCAGGCAGATCACGAGGTCAAGAGATTGAGACCATTCTGACCAACATGGTGAAACCCCATTTCTACTAAAAATACAAAAATTAGCTGGGTTTGGAAGCACATGCCTGTGGTCCCACCTACCTGGGAGGCTGAGGAAGGAGAATTGCTTGAACCCGGGAGGCGGAGTTTGCAGTGAGCTGAGATTGCACCACTCCAGCCTGGGCAACAGAGGAGACTCCGTCTCAACAACAAAAAATGAAAGAAAAAAAGAACCATTGATGCCTGGGCCCTTTTTGCTCACATTGGACTGGGCATCAGTATTTTATTTTATTTTTATTTTTGGAGTCTTGCTCTGTTGCCCAGGCTGGAATGAAGTGGCACAATCTCGACTCACTGCAGCCTCCACCTCCTGGGTTCAAGCAATTCTCTTGCCTCAGCCTCCCAAGTAGGTGGGATTACAGGTGTCCCCACCAGGCCTGGCTGATTTTTTTGTATTTTTAGTAGAGACAGGTTTTCACCATGTTGGTCAGGCTGGTCTCAAACACCCGCCTTGGCCTCCCAAAGTGCTGGGATTACAGGCGTGAGCCATCGCTCCCGGCCAGGCTCTGTCTTCAAATATAGTCACACTGGGGGTTGAACTTCAATGTATAAATTTGGGGGAATGGGACACAAACATTCAGTCCGTAACACTCCCTTTCCCCCAACCTTAGACAACCACTAATCTACATCTTATCTCTACATATGACCTATTCTGGACATGTCATATAAATGGAATCATAATGTGTGATCCTTTGTGTCTGGCTTCTTTCACATAGCATAATGTTATCAAGGTTCATCCACACGGTGGCATTTTCTTTCTTTTTATTAGGAATAATAGTTTCACTTTACAGATTGCTATGGCTTGAACATGTCCCCTAAAGTTCTTGTATTGGAAACTTAACCCCCAATGCAACTGTTGAGAGGTGGGAACTTTAAGAATTGATTAGGTTATGTGGGCTCTTCCCTCATGAAAGATTAATGGCATTATTGCGTGAGCAGGTTAGTTATCAAGGGAGTGGACAGTTGATAAATGGATGGGTTCTGCCCCCACCCCACCCCATCTCTTGCTCCGTGTTGCCCTTCTGCTTTCTGCCATGAGATGAGGCAGAAAGAAGGCTCTCACCAGATGCAGGCCCCTTGACCTTGGACTTTCTAGCCCCCAGAACTGAAAGAAAGCTCTATTCTTTATAAATTACTCGTCTTAGGCATTCTATGATGCAGCACAAAACAAAGACATGGATATGCCACTTTTATTTTTTCAGTCGTCAGTTGGTAGACATTCAGGTTGTGTCGACTCTGGGGCTACTATGAATAATGCTGCTATGAATATTCATGCACAAGTTTTATGTGGAATATGCTTTTATTTCTCTTTGCTGGATATCTAGAAGTAAAATTGCTGGATCATGTAACTCTGTGTTTACATTCCAACCAGCCATGTGTGAGGGTTCCAATCTCTCCACATCCTCACAAAAACTCGTTAATTATCTGGGTTTTTTTTTTTTTTTTTTTTTTTTTTCAGTTGGAATTTCACGGTCACCCAGGCCGGAGTGCAATGGTGCAATCTCTGCTCACTGCAACCTCTGCTTCCTGAGTTCAAGTGATTCTCCTGCCTCAGCCTCCCAAGTAGCTGGGATTACAGGCGTGAGCCACCTCGCCTGTCCGGCATTTAAAAAAGCTCCCCAGGTTGTTCTGATTTGCTCCTGAGTTGAGACCCACAGTCCAGTGCTCAGATCTGTCCAGGAGAGTGGCTGCAGCACAGTTGTCTGTCCATAACCACCTCTAGAGCCTCTAGTTTCCACGTTGTTTCCCAGGGTCTCATCCAGGGAAGGCCTTGCTACTTTGTAGCAGGAGACTGTGTCTTGTTTTCTGCCCTGAATTCATCAGTAACTTGGAAAAGGGCTGTTTCGGAGCAGGCCTGGGCTACCTCAGTGTTGGGGAAGGGCTTTGTCTTGCAGGCTGGCTGTGGGGTGCTCGCCTAGGAGCGTTTTTCCTTAATTTGCAAGGGGCTTGCCTCCGGCTTTGAGTTTACCTGTGTCTGTGACCAAGTCTTGGAGGAAAGGTCCTATTGTGGAGTCTGTGGGTGGGTTCACTGTGTCTGTCCCCGTCGTTGAGATATGTTTTTTGTCTGGTATATATGCCTCTTGGGGCCTCTATTTATCTGTCAGGGTCTCTGATGGGAAGGTTTCTGAACCTGCGGTCTAACTGAGCCTTAGAACATCATTCCTGCTACCAATCCAAAAATTCTATCTGGGACAAGTCTCCCAGGAATGGCATGGGTGGGAGGGGGCCTCTGTCTAGGACTCAGGAGCTGGCTTTGCGGGGTATCTGCTTGGGGGCCTCAGTCTGTGTCTGTAAGTCTCCCTAGGCAGCTGCTCTAGGGCTTGGTCTGGAGGAGCCACTTCTCTCTGGCTCTGGCCGCCTGGGGCTCCCTGCAGCTAAGGCCAAGGCTGGGGTGTGGCCGCCTCCGCGGCAGGCCGGCGGGCTGAGCTCGGGTGGGCCGGGGCGCTCCCTCCCTTCCACGCCCCCACCCCGGGTTCCCCCGTTCATCGCCCCCCCCAATCCCTATCCCAGCGGGTCCCGGCTTCCTTACATGGTCACGGCCGGGCTTCCAGCTCCCGGACGTCCCCCGCCCCCCGCCCCCACCGGACACGGCCCCCGCCCTGCTCGCCCCGCGCCACCCGCCCGCGCCCCGCCATGGAGGACCTGGGTGAGTGGGGCCGGATCCCCGGGTCCGCGGCCCCTCACCGCTGCCCAGACCTGCCTCCCCGCCGTCGCACTCCCGCATCTCCCCATCCCTGTCTTCTAGCTCCTGCTTTTCGCCTCTGCCCGCGCCTCCTTTCCAACTCCACGTCCCCTTTCCTGCCTCTCCCTTCCTGCCTTTCCTGGGCCGGCCGCTCCCTCCCTTCTTTCCTCGCTCCGCTCCTCCATCCCAGGCTGCGGCGGATGAACAGGAGGTGCGGCGCCCGCGGGCGCCCGGGCGCGGGGCTCTGGGGAGGGAGGGGTTAAAGGGGCCTCGGCCCGGGGATCGGGAAAGTAGACGGCACGGGAAAGTCTGGCATCAAGTTTTGGAGAAAAAAGCGGGCCTGCCTGCGCCAGGGTTTTGGGAGAGGAGTTACGGGCTCCTGAGCACCGTGGGGTCAGGTCCTTGAGGCAAGAATGAGAATAGTAGGCCAGGAGGGCCGAGGAGCCCGCGAAGGCTTCAGGGTTTCACGCGGGTGCTCAGAGACGAAGACTGAAGGCAGGACTTCTGGGTTCTGGAAGGGAAAGGGCTCAAAGGACCCGGATCTGGGGTTGCAGGGATGGAGGTGGGTGTCTTGTCCGGAAGGGGGACACAGGTATCTAGTCCTCCCGGTTTGCCGAGCCTGGGGCTGGAAGGCTGTGCGCTCTACGGGAGAGAGGGGCTTCCTGCCCCCGGCGGTAGAGGGCGCTGCTCGTTAGGGGTAACTGACGCGGTACCGCGGAGAAGCAGCCAATCAGAAGGCAGGTTCCAGCGAAGCGCTAGTAAGGAGCGCCGGGCGGGACTCAGGGGCCTGGGCGTGGCCAGGCTGGGCGGGGTCTGTGTAGGTAGCGGGAGGAGTTAGTGAGCGTGGAAGAGAGAGCGTCCAATCAGAAAGCTGGGGTCAGGCATGGGGCCAATGGAGCAATTTGGAGGGGAGCCAAGTTTGACTTGAGTGAAGAGCCCATTTTGACTGTATCAGAGAAGATGGGGGGAAAACAAAGAATCAGGAGCCTGGGTTTGTGCTTGGCTCCCAGCCTCAGCAACTGAGATGTTCTGGTCATAAATATTCCTTGCTACCCTTCGATCAGTGCTCTGCCTGGGTGTGGCCCTGTGACCTCTGGTCTTAGTACTGGCTTCTGTCCTGTAGTACTGCCCACTGGGAAGCTTACCTTCTGATCTAATCATGGCCCTTGTCTGTCTCCCTGATGGTTTCTCCCTGCAGACGCCCTGCTCTCTGATCTGGAGACCACCACCTCACACATGCCAAGGTCAGGGGCTCCCAAAGAGCGCCCTGCGGAGCCTCTCACCCCTCCCCCACCCTATGGCCACCAGTCACAGGTGAGATCGGATGTTGGGGACTGGGGCAGCCACTAGGGCCAAGCTCGGCCTAAGCTATGGGGATCTCAGCCTGAATGGGGCAGAGTGCAGACCTGTCATCCCACCTGTTCGTCTCTGCTCCGTAGACAGGATCTGGGGAGTCTTCAGGAGCCTCGGGGGACAAGGACCACCTGTACAGGTGAGGAGCCTAGCAAGTGGGGCATAGGGGCCAACTGAAGCTCAGGTGAGGAGGCCTGGAATCCCCACCCCTGAACCCAGGCTCCCACTCTGCTTCCCAGCACGGTATGCAAGCCTCGGTCCCCAAAGCCTGCAGCCCCGGCGGCCCCTCCATTCTCCTCTTCCAGTGGTGTCTTGGGTACTGGACTCTGTGAGCTAGATCGGTTGCTTCAGGAACTTAATGCCACCCAGTTCAACATCACAGGTACCAGGGTGACTGAGAGAGGATTTGATTGGATGAGGGAAGGGGAAGGAAGAGCAGGGCAGAGACTTAAGGGGAATACACTTCCCAGAGCAGCAGTTAAAGGGACCTAAAGCCTCAAGTGGGAGAGTGGGTTGAGCGTGGTCCTATGTGCAGCATCCTCCTCTCCTCTCTCCAGATGAAATCATGTCCCAGTTCCCATCTAGCAAGGTGGCTTCAGGAGAGCAGAAGGAAGACCAGTCTGAAGACAAGAAAAGACCCAGCCTGTGAGTTTGACGTCATTGTCAGGGCTGAGAAGAGATGGGTCCTGGATGTCAGAGTCACTAGAGAGAGCGTTACTCTGGGAGGCTCTGAGATAACACAAGCATGTTCTTCACAGCCCTTCCAGCCCGTCTCCTGGCCTCCCAAAGCCTTCTGCCACCTCGGCCACTCTGGAGTTGGATAGACTGATGGCCTCACTCTCTGACTTCCGCGTTCAGAACCACGTGAGTTGGGCAGTGGGCCAGTGTCCATTTGTAGCTCCTCAACCCCTTCTAGACCCTTCCACATCTGCTGCCTTGCTGAGTCAACTCTCTTGTCCTCCCTGCTGCAGCTTCCAGCCTCTGGGCCAACCCAGCCACCAGTGGCGAGCTCCACGAATGAGGGCTCCCCATCCCCACCAGAGCCGACTGGCAAGGGCAGCCTAGACACCATGCTGGGGCTGCTGCAGTCTGACCTCAGCCGCCGGGGCGTTCCCACCCAGGCCAAGGGCCTCTGCGGCTCCTGCAATAAACCTATTGCTGGACAAGTAAGTGGAGCCTTGTGAGAAGCAAGGCAGAGACCCGTCACAGACCCATCTTTACTGAGAGCCAGGCTTTATGCTGTTCCTTTTAATAAGTAACTCTGGGAAGTGGGTATCATTGTTGCTTATATTTTATGGATGAGGAAACCGTAGCTCTGAACCACACAGCAGGTTAGTGGTAGGGTGAAAATTCCAACCATGTTACCATTTATTGTGGTCCTACTGTGTGCCAAGCACTATGCCATCTCTTTTACAAACCCACATCTCATCTGATCTTCACAAAACACTTGGTGGCTTCACCCACCATCTCTCACACATCTACAAAGATGCTGTCTTCCTCCATCAGAGTCTGGACTGGGGTCACTGGTCCTTTGCTTAGTGACTGAACAGATGTGATTGACAACAGCTGTGCCTAACGGTTAACCTAGTTCCTCCTTCTAGATTAAGTACCTGACTCCCAGTGTAGGATTGCCCATCTCAGCAAAGCAGGGTGACATTGTAACTTTTGCGGATCATAGGCACTTTAATCTTCATGAATCCCTTCGTCCATTAAAATAGTTTTTTATGCCTGTGTTAGTGTAAAGATAGATATGTTATTATTACATATTAAAGCATTTTCTTCCAGTTAATTTTTTTATTCCGAATTTTTAAAATCTGATTTTTTCACTCGCTCCCTCTTATTTATTTATTTATTTAGAGACGAAGTCTCACTTTGTGACCCAGGCTGGAGTGCAGTGGTGCAATTGTGTCTCACTGCAGCCTCCATCTGCTGGGCTCAAGCAATCCTCCCACTTCAGCCTTCTGAGTAGCTGGGACTACAGGTGCCAGCCACCACGCCTGGCTAATTTTATTTATTTATTGTAGAGATGGGGTTTCACCACGTTGTCCAGGCTGGTCTCAAACTCCTGGGCACAAGCCATACTCTCACCTCAGCCTCCCAAAGATTAGAAGTGTGAGCCACCCAGTCTGGCCTTACTCTGATTTTTAAAAATTAAAACGTTTTTATGGGCCCCTAAACGTATTGTGGGCTCCAGGCGCTGTGCCTAGTGTGCCCCACGTATAGATGAATAATGGAGCGAAGCTGGAAGCTGGAGCTGGATCTCCATCGCTTACAGGCTGCAGGATCTTGAACACTGGATCCTTCATTCTGATAGCTCAGAGACTCGAAAAACGTCGTGTAAACCTTGCCTCACTGAGCATGCGGCCGTCAGAGCCTCTCTGACCCCGCCTCACCTCCCACTCACAGGTGGTGACGGCTCTGGGCCGCGCCTGGCACCCAGAGCACTTCGTTTGCGGAGGCTGTTCCACCGCCCTGGGAGGGAGCAGCTTCTTCGAGAAGGATGGAGCCCCCTTTTGCCCTGAGTGCTACTTCGAGCGCTTCTCCCCAAGATGTGGCTTCTGCAACCAACCCATCCGACACGTGAGCCCCGCCCGCCGCACCAAGCCCTCCCGGTCTCACCCGGAAAGCTGTGGGACTGGCCTCCTCCGCATGGGTCCCGCCCCACTCGCACTACCCCACTCCACCCCTACACTTTGGCAACGTCTACAGCCCCCAACTTCCTAGTTAGACCTTCCCCCCACCCCCCACGCAAGCCTTAGGCCAGTCACCCGGGTTCCGCGCGGGAGAGGAAGGCGCGAAGGCACTGAGGCCGCGCTGAGTGTTCGCTCCCTCCCTGCAGAAGATGGTGACCGCCTTGGGCACCCACTGGCACCCAGAGCATTTCTGCTGCGTCAGTTGCGGGGAGCCTTTCGGAGATGAGGGTGAGAGTGGACTCGACTCCCACCTTAAAAGCTGCGGGTCCCCTCGACGTCTCGCCCCGGCCCCTCTGACCTCCGGAGTCCTCCGGGCATTGCTTTTCCTCCTGCTCTCTTCTGGCCCTGCCTCTCTCTCACAGGCTCCAGGCCCGAGCTCTCCCGCTCTGCCCTGGCCTAGACCCGGCTCCTCCTTCCCCACGGCTCCCTCGGACTGCCCCTCCTTCGGCCTCAGATCTCAGGTCTCCTGGGTCCCCCGTCCCGCTCGCACCCTTTGCTTTCAGCCCACTCGGTTCCCGCTCCTAGGTTTCCACGAGCGCGAGGGCCGCCCCTACTGCCGCCGGGACTTCCTGCAGCTCTTCGCCCCGCGCTGCCAGGGCTGCCAGGGCCCCATCCTGGATAACTACATCTCGGCGCTCAGCGCGCTCTGGCACCCAGACTGCTTCGTCTGCCGGGTGCGCCCGAGGGGGCGGGGCCTTGGAGGGGAGGTCAAGGGTGCAGGGCTATGGGGCAGGGCCTTGGAGGGGCGGGTTAAAGGTGTATGCTGTGGGGCGGGGCTTGTGTCAAGGGTGCAGGGCTGCGGGGCGGGGCCTTGAACGGGGTGGGGGGTCAAGCGTGCAGGGCTGCCAGGGCGGGGCCTTGGGGGGCGGCTCAAGGGTACAGGGCTTAACGCGTGGCCTTGGAGGAGCGGTAAGGGTACAGGACTGTGAGGTGGAGCCTTGGAGGGACGGGTCAAAGGTGCAGGGCTGTAGGGCGGGGCCTTGGAGGGGCGGGTCAAGGGTGCAGCGCTGTGGGGGCGGGGCCTTGGAGGGGAGGGTTAAAGGTGCGCGCTGTGGGGCGGAGCCTTGAGAAGGGCGGGTCAAGGGTGCAGGGCTGTGGGGCGGGGCCTTGGAGGGGCGGGTCACGGGAGGCGCTCCAGGTGCCTTGGGTGGGGCGAGTTTTCCGGGCAGGGTCAGGTGGCTTCTCGTCTAGGGCCGGCTGCGGGGGTCCCCGTACTTCATTCGATAGTAACGCGCGTCGTCTGGCTGGGGCTCTGGCCGCTGACCTGTCTGTTCTCTTTCGCGGCCTCCCTTCCCCAGGAATGCTTCGCTCCTTTCTCGGGAGGCAGCTTTTTCGAGCACGAGGGCCGTCCACTGTGCGAGAACCACTTCCACGCACGGCGTGGCTCGCTGTGCGCCACCTGTGGCCTCCCCGTGACCGGCCGCTGCGTGTCGGCTCTGGGCCGCCGCTTCCACCCGGACCACTTCACATGCACCTTCTGCCTGCGCCCGCTCACCAAGGGCTCGTTCCAGGAGCGCGCCGGCAAGCCCTACTGCCAGCCCTGCTTCCTGAAGCTCTTCGGCTGACAGCCCGCCCGGCTCGCCCCCTCCCCAGGAGGCCGCGCCCTCCCGGAAAAGCCAGGTCCTCCAGACCCCGCGGCCTTGATCTCCGATCGTGAGGCCCCACTCAATGGAGAGCCCCGTCCCTAGGGTACCCTGAGTCCTCAGGGGGTCAAGTTCTGAAAAGGCCCAGCCAGACCTAAACCCACACGCCCCCAAAGTGGTTCGCACACAGAGAGCTCCTGCGCGAGCCTCCATTCTATTCCCACCCTTGAGGGAGCCCCCGGACTAGGGGAAAGTCCTTGCAATTCCAGCGAATCCGAGGCCAGGCCAGGAAGTCCTTGCTCCCTGTACCCTCACTGTTCTGTGCACTTTTTCTACCTACATAAACACACCCATTCCACGTCTCCCTGGTGCTGTCTCTGAATGCGCGCAGGAGCCTGGCCCTGACGCCCTGTCCCCGCGCTGGCTCTGTCCCCGGCCGTCTCTAGGCCACTGCCCTGTGACCGTGACCGCAGCGGGATCTGCAGCCTCAGCCCTTGCGGGTGGCCGCTTCTGCACTTCCTACTTCAAGTGTCAGATGAGCCTGAGCCTGGAAAGGGCGGCGACCTGCACAGGACTGTACAGATAGTGGCAGAGCCAGGACAAGAGCTCCAACTGGGACCCCACAGAACCTTCCCGCCCTCATCCTTCTTCAGCTCTATTCTTTTGTTTGTTTTATTTTGTTTTAAGAGATGAGGTCTCACTTTGTCTCCCAGGCTGGAGTGCATTGGTGCCACAGCTCACTGCAACCTCTAACCTTTGGGCTCAAGCGGTCTCCTACCTTGGCCTCCCAAAGTGCTGGGAGTGCAGGTGTGAGCCACTGTGCCTGTCTTTCCCTATAGTCTTGAAATTAGCGCTTATGGTGGCTCACCTCTGTAATTCCAGCACTTTGGGAGGCGTATGTGGGGGGATCATGAGGTCGGGAGTTTGAGACCAGCCTGGCCAACATGGTGAAACCCCATCCCTACTAAAAATACAAAAATTAGCTGGTCGTGGTGGCACACGCCTGTAATCCCAGCTACTCAGTAGGCTGGGGCAGGAGAATTGCTTGAACTCGGGAGGCAGAAGTTGCGGTGAGCCAAGATCATGTGACTGCACTCCAGCCTGGGCGACAGAGCAAGACTCTGTCTCAAAAAAAAAAAAAAAAAAAGAAAGAAAGAAAGAAAGAAAGAAAGAAGCACTTAATCTGTTCCCCTTCCTGCACTGCCTTTGGTTGCCAGATTTTTTCCCCTATTAAAGGGCCTTTAAGGGTGGAGCTGTATGCAGAGTGCCAGCTGTGCCCACCTTTTGGTTCTGGGCACTAAGGTGCAACTTCCCTCTTACTGTTGGCCCACAACATCTCGGATCACCTGTATGTTTCATGTAATCATGGCCCCAACGTAACCCTTTCTCACTCCCACCCCCAGGTGTCCCAGTCAAGGCAGAACAATCGTCCTGTCTAGAGCCATTACTGGTCAATCTGTCACCACCTGAGGCTTCTCCTGGCCTAGCCCTGTGCTGGGTGGTGCTGAGTCCAGAGATGAGTCAGGCTCACTGCTCTGGGGAGCCCCAGGCTTAAAAGACAAATACTTGGGCAGATGACACTTGGTGTGGCCAGGGTGTGACTGAGGGAAGCATTGGGAGCTGTAGAAGTCAGAAGGTGGCTTCTAACCCAGACTGGGAGTCAAGGGATGCTTCCTGGAGGAGTTGACATCTGGGACCTGAGCCAAGTCCCAGCAGGGTAGGATGGGGCCAGGGGTTTTCAGGTGTGGAGGATGGGGCCGGGGGTTTTCAGGTGTGGAGGATGGGGCCAGGGGTTTCAAGTGTTTAGAAGTTCAGGTTCCTTGTAAGCCCCCATATCCCAGGGTGACCCCCTGGGACCAGACTCTAGGGACCTCTGGTGCTGGAAATGATGGGTCCTCAGAGGCCTTTCCAGCTCATCAGGAAGAGCTAGCAGCTGCAGAGACCATGTATGGGCACCAGGAAAAGGTGAGGTGTCCTCAGCTCCAGCCTCTGTCAGGCCCCCCGATCGCTTCCTCTCTGAGGCTCCTCTCCTGTGGTCTTCCCTGGTCTCCTGCTCTTCCCCTTCCACATATTGTCCCCGAAGAATGTCCCTCTGGCATGTAACCACTTCTCTATCTTGAGGATGCCCAAATTGGCATTCATTCATTCACCAGATATTTATCGAGCACTCCTGTGCCAGCCTCTGGGGAGACAATGGGGAACCAAGCAGCTATGCCCCTTGCCCTCAGGGAGCTGAGGTCTAGTAGGGGAGACAGATGACAGGCAAATACAAAAGTGACACGTATGATGAAGGAGTAGGACCTTCCCAACTGCCTAGCTAAAGCCAGCGCTTCCCTGGTTTCCGTGCGATGGTCCCTCCCTAGTTCCTTCCTAGCACACAGTGCTCTTACAAGTAGAAGTTTTTGTTTTCGTTTTTTTGAGAGAGAGTCTCACCCTGTCGCCCAGGCTGGAGCGCAGTGGTACAGTGTTGGCTCACTGCCAGTTCTGCCTCCCAAGGTTGAACCTCCGGGTTCAAGCAATTCTCCTGCCCCAGCCTCCTAAGTACCTGGGATTACAGGCATGCACCACCACATCTGGTTAATTTTTATATTTTTATTAAAAACATAGTTTCAGCATGTTGGCCAAGCTGGTCTCACACTCCTGACTTCAGTTGATTCCCCTGCCTCAGCCTCCCAAATTTCTGGGTTTACAGGCATGAGCCACTGTGCCTGGCCCCGGCTTCCATCTGACTCTGCAACCGGAACAGAAGCTCCAGAGAGCAGGCAGTGCGTTTGTTTTGCTGACCATTTTCTCCTTGATTCTAGAACAAGGTCCAGTACATAGCTGGTCTCCATATGTGGTTGCTAATGAAGGAAGGAACCAGGAAGAAAGGAAAAAGAGAGAGTACAAAGGATGAAATAGAGAATTAAGTTAGGGGAGGTGGGAAGAGTTCACCTTCACCAGGTAGTGAAACGTAAGGTCTTGGCTAAAAGCCGAAAGTTGAGAAGGAGCCGTGCAAAGCGCCAAGGAGAGCATTCCCGGCAGACAGGCAGCAGGTGCAAAGGACAGGGAGGAGAGAGTCTGATGCCTTGGAAGAAAGAAAAGGCCACTGTGGCTGGATTGGAGCCAGCAATGGGGAGAGCAGGAGGGGGAGATGTCACATGACGGCTGTGGTGAAGAGACCTTATCTGAACTGTCTGCAACACACACGTGTCCTTTGACACTTGGTGCTGGATTTCTTTCAGGCACTTTAAACTCATCACCCCCTGAGGCAGACATTGCGGGTGCCTCACCCTTATATCTGCATGGCCCACCTTGGAATCATATACAGTTTCCAGACACCTTGACTTGCAGCTCCTCCCGGGGTTTCTTGTCTGAGGCTGCTCTCAGGAGGAGGGAGTGTGCCCCGTGTTCCCAGCAGGCCTGAAGTGTGTGTGGGCGTTTCTGCAGCTTTTAGCCAGTGACAGATACAAATTGGGAAATAAACACCCCAACCACCTGGCCCCTGAGGGATCACTGCTACAGGGTGTTCTTCTCAGTGTCTCAGAGTGCACTTTTTGGGATCAGGCTCCAACTGCTCTTGGTGGTAACCTGTTAAATAACACACCCTCATGCCAGGTGCAGTGGCTCACGTCTGTAATCCCAGCACTTTGGGAGGCCGAGGCAGTTTGGTTCAGGAGTTTTGAGACCAGCCTGGGCAGCATAGTGAAACCCCATCTTTATAAAAAATACAAAAATCAGCCTAGTGTGCCTGTAAATTCCAGCTATTTGGAAAACTGAGGTGGAAGGATCCCTTGAGCCCAGGAAGTCGAGGCTGCAGTGTGCTGTGATCACATTACTATACTCCAGCCTTGGCGACACAGTGGGACCCCGTCTTAAAAGAAAAAAACACATGCTTTATTGGCTTTTCTCCTTTTTTTTTTTTTTTTTTTTTTTGAGACAGAGTCTCGCTCTGTCACCAGGCTGGAGTGCAGTGGCACAATCTCAGCTCACTGCAACCTCCGCCTCCTGGGTTCAAGCAATTCTCCTGCCTGGGCCTCCTGAGAAGCTGGGACTACAGGCACGCGCCACCATGCTCAGCTAGTTTTTGTATTTTTGGTAGAGGCAAGGTTTCACCATGTTGGCCAGGATGGTCCCTTATCTCTTGACCTCGTGATCTGCCTGCCTTGGCCTCCCAAAGTGCTGAGATGCAGGCGTGCACCACTGTGCCGGGCCTTCTTGTCTCTCTTCTCTACTCCTTCAACGTCCATACTGGAATCACCTCCTCTGGAAAGTCACTGTACACAAAATCTCATCTCAGTGTCTCCTTTTGGAGGAACCCAATCCAAGGTACTCCTTCAACTACACTCCAACCCCGAACTATTTTTCTCTGTTCCCCATCTCCAGATGACCATAGCTACCATAATCAGGCAGGACTTCCCTTTGACTGTCTCCTGACATCCAAGTCTGGTCAATTCTTCTAGAAAGGTAGACATACAGATATTAACCAGCCTCTCTCTTCTTGAATCCAGTCCTGTGCTGAGCAATGAGACTCCAGGGATGAATCAGATAAGTCTTGCTCGTTTAAATTTTTATTTATTTTTTGAGAGATGAGGTCTGACTCTTCTGCCCAGGCTGGTTTCAAACTTCTGAGCTCAAGTGATTCCTCCTGCCTCAGCCTCCCGAAGTGCTAGGATTGCAGGCATGAGCCCCCACACCCAGCCAATCCTGCTCTTGAGGACTCTCTAGTTTGCTGAGGAGGCAGACCTGGACCCAGGCAAGGACCATGAAGTGTGCACAGAACTGCATCAAAAATGTCAGAGAAGGATGGGCACAATGGCTCACGCCTGTAATCCCAGCACTTTGGGAGGCTGAGGGGGGCAGATCATGAGGTCAGGAGATTGAGACCAGCCTGGCCAACATGGTGAAACCTCGTCTCTACTGAAAATACAAAAATTAGCCCGGCACAGTGGTGGTAGTCCCAGCTGCTTGGGAGGCTGAGGCAGGAGAATTGCTTGAACCTGGGAGGCGGAGATTGCAGCGAGCCAAGATTGCACCACTGCACTCCAGCCTGGCAACAGAGTGAGACTCTGTCTCAAAAATAAATAAATAAATAAATAAGTCAGAGAAGTCTTTCTTGAAGAGGTGACAAAGGCTGGGTACTGAAAGCTGAGTAGGAGTTTGTCATTTGGGAGGCAGGGAAGCACTCTAAACAAAAGACACAGCTTGTGGAAGGATTTGGTGGGGATGAAAGCATCCAGGCCAAAAAAGCCAAAAGCAAAAATCTGGGCTGGGTAGGTTAAGGTCGTGCGAAGGGATTTCTGATGTCCTGTAGATATGGTTTGGAGAAGCAGGGGAAGGATGAGGAAGACTTGGGGCATGGCAGATGTTGGAAATCAGGCTGAAGGGCTTGTACTTCCTCCTGAGTATGATAGGGAGCTACGGAGGGTTCCTGAGGAGGGTGGAGTGACCCCGTCAGACTTGGGTTTGAAAATGATTCCTCTGGATTAGTTAAATCCAGGGGAGCTGGCTTACTCAAGAAGGAAACGATGCATTTTTAGGGAGCAAAAGAGGTGATTTTGAGCCTGGGGCACTGGGGAGAGGGTGGAGGCTAAGGCCTGGGAAGGAGTGCCCTTGAACCTGGAAGGGCCCAGCTCCCCAGGACCAGCTTTCGGCCTTGATATGACCTGATTCAGCTAAACAAAGCTGGGGAGCTTGTCGGCTCAGTGCCCCTGAGGTAACCATTAATCCTTCCCCTGGGGGAATCCAGGGGCTTGTCCCTGGATGGGGCAGATCCTGGGGAGAATGGAGGAGCACAGGCAGGCAGGCTCGGCACCAGAGCTGGGGGCCCAGAGGGCTCTGATCAGCAATCCTGCTGACATCCTAGTCATCGCTGCATATTTCCTGCTGGTCATCGGCGTTGGCTTGTGGGTGAGAAGTTGAGGGGGTGCTGCTGGGGGCTGCTGGCTTCTGGGGCCTGGGGGAAAAGTCTCAGGAGGACCCTAGGTGGGGGAAGGATGCTTGGATCTTTGAAGGACAAACCCAGGCCTGGGGACAAGCAGGTCTTTGGAGGGCCTCAGGGAGGCCCAGCCAACATTCCTTCCTTGTATGCTCACCTTAGGACTGTGCTAGCTGAAGGGGTCCATGGATTTTTGTCAGGGTTGATATTCTAAATAGATTCTCATTCCCCTGGCCACTTATGGCTGACCTGCAGAAAATATTCAAGGGCCCCAGCAAGATCAGGCCAAATCCACACACAATAAATCCTGAGTAGTTGGGATAAGACTAGTGGCTCACACCTGTAATCCCATGACCTTGGGAGGCCAAGGCAGGGGGATCACTGAGGCCAGGAGTTTGCTACAAGCCTGGCCAACATGGCGAAACCACATTTCTTTTTTATTTAAACAAATGTATTAATTTTTAAGTGGGTAGGTGATCTCACTGTGTTGCCCAGGCTGGTCTCGAACTCCTAGGCTCAAGCAATCCTCCTGCCTCTGCCTCCCAAAGTGCTAGGATTATAGGTGTGAGCCACTGTCTCTGGATGAGACCCTGTTTCAGAGAGAGAGAGAGAGAGAGAGAGAGAGAAAGAAAGGAAAAGAAAGAAAGGAGGGAAGAGGGAGGGAGGGAGGGAAGGAAGAGAGAGAAGAGAAAAATTAGCCAGCCATGGTGGCATGTGTTTCTGTAGTCACAGCTACTCAGAGGCCAAGGTGGGAAGACTGCCTGAGCCCAAGAGTTCAAGGCTGCAGTGAGCTACGATCACACCATTGCACTCCAGCCTGGGAGACAGAGCGAGATGTTGTCTCTAAAAAGAAAAAAAAAAAAAGATGTGGGCTGGGCGTGACGGTTCATTCCTGTAATCCCAGTACTTTGGGAGGCCGAGATGGGTGAATTGCTTGAGGCCAGGAGTTGGAGACCAGCCTGGCCAACATGGTAAAACCCTGTCTCTACTAAAATATATTAAAGAAAAAAAAAAATAGCTGGGTATGGTGGTTCGTGCCTATAATCCCAGCGACTTGGGAGGCTAAGGCATGAGAATTGCTTGAACCTGGGAGATGGAGGTTGCAGTGAGCCGAAATCACACCACTGCACTCCAGCCTGAGCAACAGAACAAGGCTCTGTCTCAAAAAATGAAAAGAAAAAGAAAAAGGAAAAATATGTGAAAAGATTTAGGGAATGGGACACTGGGATTAGAACCTGGCTTGCCTGAGTGTCTGGAAGGAGTTGGGGGTGTACAAATGATCAGGGAAGCTTGGCAGGTTAATCTTCAGCCTGAAACAAGGCTGAGGAATGTGTTGAGGCGGCTAATGAGGTCCAAGGCTGCACCCCAAACCCGGGTCTCCCCCGCCTCTGTCTCCCAGTCCATGTGCAGAACCAACAGAGGCACCGTGGGCGGCTACTTCCTGGCTGGACGCAGCATGGTGTGGTGGCCGGTGAGACTGGCTGGGCCGGGAATGGGACGGGGCCTGGAGAAGCAGCCCTGGTCACCCTCTCCTCTGGCCACCCAGGTTGGGGCCTCTCTCTTCGCCAGCAACATCGGCAGTGGCCACTTTGTGGGCCTGGCAGGGACTGGCGCTGCAAGCGGCTTGGCTGTGGCTGGATTCGAGTGGAATGTGAGGCCCCTTTTTCCCAATAATCCCACCTCCAGCGAGAAGCCCTGGAAGGGTCACACCTTGGGGAAGCTCCAGGAAGGGGGAAATGAGACTGGCAGTAGGACTTCCGAACAGAGGGGTGTGGTTGGGCTGGGAGTGGAGGTCACACATCCAGCCGGGAGGCAGAGGGGTGCAGGGATGACCACTGTCGGGGCAGGACTAGGTCCTGCTGCTGACCCATCTGAGCCAGCCTGCACCAGCCACTGCTTCTGGGAGCCTCCATCTGCTCGTCTCTGAGTGGGGTGGGCAGCGTCAAAGCCAGGGAAGCACCTGTTCGGATGCACTCTGAAGCTGTGGTCTGCGAGGAATTCGGGGCCAAGTTAAAGCCCTTTGCAGAAGTGAGGAGCAGAGACAAAGCTCTGGGACTGCAGCTCCCCTTGGAGGATCGCCTTTGAGCTCAGGGATTCTTGGAGGAGGAGGCCTCTGAGCTGAGCCTTGGGGAGCACATGGTTTGGGTGGCTTTGGCTGGGGTCAGTCTGAGGGGTCTACACTGGGGTTCATATCTAGACGGGAAACATAGGGACAACATTGGGAGAAACAGGCCAGGAATGATGGCCTGGAGAGACAGGGAGAGCTCCATTTAAGACCAGGACAGTGTCAGCTCTGTTCCTTAGTGCCCAGGCCCCAGGGCCATCACCTGCAGTTGTCTTTTGGGCCCCAGGTGTGGCCCTTCCCAGGGCCACTTGCTTGGAGTAGCGCCTTCACGAAGAGAAGGTCAGATCCTCGGGGGTGAGAGCAGAGCCACCCTCAGTGGCTGTGCTGCCCCCGCAGGCGCTTTTCGTGGTGCTGCTACTGGGCTGGCTCTTTGCGCCTGTTTACCTGACGGCGGGGGTCATCACGATGCCACAGTACCTGCGCAAGCGCTTCGGCGGCCGCCGCATCCGCCTCTACCTGTCTGTGCTTTCCCTTTTCCTGTACATCTTCACCAAGATCTCGGTGAGCACACGTGGCTGACGGGATGGGGCCCTAGAAGGGCGGGGCCTCGAGTGGGGTCTCTAGAGAATCCTGGAGGTCGTGAGATCAAGGAGAAACCGCTGCGAGGGTCATGACGATGGAGGTAGAGCCTGCAAGGAATGTCTCCAGGGCACCAGCCACAGTGCTGGGACCTGGAAAAATGGAGGGAAACTTTGAGGCTAGTAGGGGGTGGCCTGGGCAGGAGGTGGCCCAGGACACTGCCCTGGGTCCTGACCTGCAACTTGCTCCTCCCCTCAAGGTGGACATGTTCTCTGGAGCTGTATTCATCCAGCAGGCTCTGGGCTGGAACATCTACGCCTCCGTCATCGCACTTCTGGGCATCACCATGATTTACACGGTGACAGGTGCCAGCAGGGGCTTAGGGAAGGGAGTGGGCCTGGGACACAGCTGCCGGCTGTGGCTAGGGTTTAGGGATTCGCCAGAGGAAAGTGGGCTGGAGAGGTTTGGAAGTGTGGCGTGGTCCAGGCAGAAGGAACTAAACCTTTGGAAAGCAAAGGCTTCCTCCCTCTCCACTGTCTCTTGGACTTTGACTGGAAGTTCAGAAAGAGGAAGCCATGTTGGGCTTGAGTGAGGACTGGGAGAAAAGCAAGATTTAGTAGCTCTTGCCTGCCTTGAACACCTGGGAGAGCTCACCTGACCAGTCTGTAAGATCTCTGGCCAAACCCAGTGTGGTTCAGAGGGACCCCACCTGAGGTAAGATGCCGACCAGAGCAGGTAGGGCCTGATGCCAAGGCCGGCTTGAGGTGCCCCACCTTGGGAAGATATGGAATTGAGTATAAGACCTTAGAGAATCACTCTCTCCTATGATGAGGCAGAAAAAACTAGGGCCTAGAGAGGCCTGCTGGTGGGGGTCCTGCAAGTGGGTGCCTGGCCCTAAAACTCAGCCACACTCTGCCTGCCAAGGCCTGCTTACTGGTCCCCGAGTGCATGAGTCCCGAGAATGGGCCATCATTTTGAAATTTATTCTCCAGAAAGGGGGACTCTCTCAAATTCCCACAAAGATACCTTCCTGCTAGGGCCAGCCTGTCTGCAACATAAACAGCTGGGCTGTCCCCTGACCCCGGCCTGTTGCAGGAGGGCTGGCTGCGCTGATGTACACGGACACGGTGCAGACCTTCGTCATCCTAGGGGGCGCCTGCATCCTCATGGGTTACGGTAGGGGCCCGCCCACCGGGGAGGGGCGCGGAGGGCGCGGTGGCGGCGGCGAAGCTCTTAGCCTGCGCGCCGGGCAGTCGCGCGTCGCCGGCATGAAGGTCCTAAGGACGGTCCCCTGACGGCCTTGCCCGGCAGCCTTCCATGAGGTGGGCGGGTATTCGGGTCTCTTCAACAAATACCTGGGAGCAGCGACTTCGCTGACGGTGTCCGAGGATCCGGCTGTGGGAAACATCTCCAGCTCCTGCTATCGACCCCGGCCCGACTCCTACCACCTGCTCCGGCACCCTGTGACGGGGGACCTGCCGTGGCCCGCGCTGCTCCTGGGGCTCACGATCGTCTCGGGCTGGTACTGGTGCAGCGACCAGGTGCGGGGGACAGGGCTAGGCCTGCAGCGAGGTCCCGGCTAAGCCAAGGCGGGCGAAGCCCGAGCCCCTTCCCGCCTTTCCCCCATGGTCGAAGGCGCGGTCTGAGGGGCGGGACCCCGCCAGAGTGGCGCTAAACCAGATGGAACCTGCTCCAATCGCGCAGCCGAACTTGGGGCACTCCCGAGCCAGAGGCAGGGCACACATTAGAGCGGAACGGGGCGCGGCGCGGGGCGGAGGAGAGGCCCGCACGCGGGCAGCTGAATGCCCCTCCTGCAGGTCATCGTGCAGCGCTGCCTGGCCGGGAAGAGCCTGACCCACATCAAGGCGGGCTGCATTCTGTGCGGGTACCTGAAGCTGACGCCCATGTTCCTCATGGTCATGCCAGGCATGATCAGCCGCGTTCTGTACCCAGGTAACGTCCGCGTCCCCGCCCCGCCCCGCCCGAGAGGCCTGGGCCCCGGCCAGCCCCTGTCCTGTGCCAGCGCCCGGGCGCCCGTCTCCCAGTTCCGTCACTCTCCTAAGACTCCGGGGTCTGGGAGTGGAGTCCCGCCTCCCTCCGGGGGTCGCACGTCTCCTCTGCTAGGGTTCCCAGTCCCTACCTCCTGGGATTCCCAGACCAGGCCTCGTCCTAGCCGCGCGGTGGCCTCTCTCCGGCAGACGAGGTGGCGTGCGTGGTGCCCGAGGTGTGCAGGCGCGTGTGCGGCACGGAGGTGGGCTGCTCCAACATCGCCTACCCGCGGCTCGTCGTGAAGCTCATGCCCAGAGGTGAGGGCGGCCGCGGGTCACAGGCGCAACCTCGCTGGGGAGCCCGCTGCTGGGAGGGGTCGTCCCTCGCGCAGCTGCAGCCGACCTGGCCCCTGGTGACTCCGACAAGATAGCTGTCGTCGGCCCGCAGGTCTGCGCGGGCTCATGCTGGCGGTCATGCTGGCCGCGCTCATGTCCTCGCTGGCCTCCATCTTCAACAGCAGCAGCACGCTCTTCACCATGGACATCTACACGCGCCTGCGGCCCCGCGCCGGCAACCGCGAGCTGCTGCTGGTGGGACGGTGCGGCCTGGGCTCCCCTCCTCCCCTACACATCAGTCCGGGGTGGGGGAGCGCGCACGCCCAGGGTTCAGGGGAGCCCAGGTTCCGGGGTTCCATCCGACGGCCCCCACCGCAGGCTCTGGGTGGTGTTCATCGTGGTAGTGTCGGTGGCCTGGCTTCCCGTGGTGCAGGCGGCGCAGGGCGGGCAGCTCTTCGATTACATCCAGGCGGTCTCCAGCTACCTGGCACCTCCCGTGTCTGCAGTCTTCGTGCTGGCGCTCTTCGTGCCGCGCGTTAATGAGCAGGTGAGCGACATGCGCGGGTGGCGACAGTCGGGCTGGGCTTGCACATTCTGAGCAGGCTGACCTGTCTCCCTCCTAGGGCGCCTTCTGGGGACTCATCGGGGGCCTGCTGATGGGCCTGGCACGCCTGATCCCCGAGTTCTCCTTCGGCTCCGGAAGCTGCGTCCAGCCCTCTGCCTGCCCGGGTTTCCTCTGCGGCGTGCACTACCTCTACTTCGCCATCGTTCTGTTCCTCTGCTCTGGCCTCCTCACCCTCACGGTCTCGCTGTGCACCGCGCCCATACCCCGCAAGCACGTGAGTGTCTGCCTCTGGATGGCCGGGTGTCCCAAACAAGCACTGTGGGCCACAGCAACCACTTGCACCCGCACCTGTCCTTGGCTTTCTGGAGAGCCCAGTGGGGAGGACTTGCATTTCTAGACTAAGGGTTGGGAGCCGGCTGGGGGTCCAGCTGCAGTTGCAATTGCAGACCAAGCACATTTTTATTTAAATGCATTTATTTGAACTGGCCTAGGGGAGGCAGCTTGAAGATGTTGATGGATTGGTGATTAAAGCCTCCCAAAGCCAATCCTTGGCATGGCCTTTGAGACTCAAAACACAGGATCTGACTGGTGGGGCACAATGCCATCTTGAAAGCCCACAAAAAGGTTTAGTTTTGCTGCCGCAAGGCAGGTGACTCTAGGCAGGGCTGATGGTGGCAGGGTGGGGTGGGGGCAGGTCAAGAGATCCGGGCCTAGAAGGATGGCTGGGATTCCCCGTAGCAGGAGGAAAGGGTGGGAGCACACAGACACACAACACCGTGAGCAGGAATGCCAGACTAGGGTCGCAAGTGATACCATCTGGGTTTAGGCAGGGGACCTGAGCTGATGAAGCTGGGGGAACAGGGCCAGCAACTTTAAACACAAGCTCAGGGGCTCAGGGTTTGTACAGAGGGCACAGGGCAGCCACCATGTAGGGTAGAGTTGGCAAGAGCTGAACCTAGGCTGGGTGTGCAGACTGGACAGAGGTGGGTAGGGCAGGCAGTGATGACCTGGTATGCAGGTGTAGGGGGACAGAACCCCCACCTCATCTGGGCTCCCACCCTCCCTAGCTCCACCGCCTGGTCTTCAGTCTCCGGCACAGCAAGGAGGAACGGGAGGACCTCGATGCTGATGAGCAGGAGAGCTCCTCACTCCCTGTACAGAATGGGTGCCCAGAGCCTGCCATGGAGATGGATGGTAGGGCACCACACTGGGAGGTGGAGCTGGGGGAGCTGAGTTCCCGCAAACTAACTGCAGGGCCTTAATCTTCCCCAGAGTCCCAGGCCCCAGCACCTAGCCTCTTCCGCCAGTGCCTGCTCTGGTTTTGTGGAATGAGCAGGGGTGGGGAGGGCAGTCCTCCGCCCCCTACCCAGCAGGAGGCAGTGGCAGCAGCCAGGCAGCTGGAGGACATCAGCGAGGACCCAAGCTGGGCCCGTGTGGTCAACCTCAACGCCCTGCTCATGATGGCAGTGGCTGTGTTCCTCTGGGGTTTCTATGCCTAAAGCCAACTGTATTGGACACCATAAGCCACAGCCCCACAGGAAGTGGGGGTGAGGAGCCTGCTCTGCTCCCCAGAAAAGGGACAGGGGCAGTGGGGTAAGAAGGTCCTGGCTCCCCTTCTCTCGGCCTTCCTCTGCCTGGGGCCCACTGCATCTGAATGACAGTCACTTCCCATGCGGGCCTGGCCCACCTCCTACTGCAGTTGCCCTAAGGAAAAATAAAGCTGCCTTTCCCTCCCTCCTGCTGTGGCCAGTGTCCTTGCTCCAGGCTCCTGTCCTGGGCTTGGGCCTCCATTTGGGCCGCTCACAGGACCTTCTTTTCGGGAGACAGAAGCCATGTGGCCCTCCACTCGTCCACCTCTAGCTGGTGCTTCTCGGTCTTCCAGCCGGCATCCTGCAGTCCTGGGGAGAGAGAATGGGGTGCTGCCGGGAATGCTGGGGACAAGGGTAAGGAGAGGTACAGGCTGGGTGCAGGCTTTGTGCACTACTGGGGCTCCCACTGCCTCTGCTGGGTGAGTCTGGCATAAAAGGAGGCTGAAACCACACGTGGTTGCAGCAAGAATTCATTGAGACGGCACACCAAAGAGCGCTGGATGGAACAGGTGCCAGATAAAACGTCCTCGTCAATGTGAGGGCCTCCCGGCTCCATCCTCCCATTTCCCACATGCCAACTGGGATTACACAGACTGTCCACACTGACACTGCTTCAGAGACCATCCTAAGCTCTCTGTCCTAGAGACAGGGAAACTGAGTCCCAAACTTAGGGACTCAATCAAGATGGCAGGGAGAACCCATCTTTTTTTTTTTTTTTGAGATGGGGTCTCTGTCACCCAGGCTGGAGTACAGTGGTGCAATCTGGGCTCACTGCAACCTCTGCCTCCTAGGCTCAAGAGATGCTCCCATCTCAGCCTCCTGCCAGTCCCACAGGTGTGTACCACCACGCCCAGCTAATTGTTTTGTATTTTTTGTAGGGACAGGGTTTCACCATGTTGCCTGGGCTGGCCTTGAACTCCTGAGTTCAAGTGATCTGGCCATCTCAGCCTCCCAAAGTGCTGAGATTACCGGTGTGAGCCACTGTGCCAGCATAGTCTTTTTTTTTTTTTTTTTGAGAGAGGGTCTCACCCTGTCACCCAGGCTGGTACAATCACGGCTCACTGCAGCCTCCACCTCCCCCAGTTCAGGTGATCCTCCCAGCTTAGCCTCCTGAGTAGCTATAACCACAGGCGTGGAACCACACCTGCCTAATTTTTGCATTTTTTGTAGAGACAAGGTTTTACCATGTTGCCCAGGCAGGGTCTCAAGCAGTCTGCCCACCTAGGCCTCCCAAGGGGCTAGAATTATAGGTGTTAGCCTCTGCAATGGGCCCAAGAACCCAAGTTTTACATTTCAGGTGGAAGGGTGGGGGAAGGCAGGGCCCCCAGGGACAAGGCTTCAGGGGCCAAGCAGCCATGGGCTGAGGAATGTTACCTTTCAAGAACTTTGGGAACAGCATGTCCAACACTTGGTGCGTCTCCTTGACGATGACCCAGCTCTCTTTCTTAGGACCTGGGTATGGGGGTGAACCAGAAGCTCTGTGTCCTCCAGCATGACAGAGCCTGTCCTCTCTCCTCCCTGCCCCGAGGCATCAGCAGTCTAGATCGTGAGGCACTTACCTGCCCGCACACGGTTCCTCAGCTCCTTCAGTTCTGCTGGAAGGGGTCCATCTCCCTGCAGGGCCCCAAGCATCAGCCCATGTGTGGCGGCCCTTAGGACGGTCTTGGGGTCTGCCTTCTGGTTCAGAACTACCTGTACCTGGTCTGGAGAGACCAGAGACAGACTGGTGTCAGGGAAAGGCCACCTCCCAAATCCCCTCGATCCCGTCACCCTGCTTCCCTGGTCTCTCCCCAGAGACCCCAGCCTGGCATGGAAGGCCAGCCCCTCACCTTTTCCTTTCCAACTCATTTCCTGTTGCTCCCCAGTGCTCAGGCCAAACTGACCAATTTCCAAATACAATTTCACGGCAGCTCACTGAGCTGGGTCTATTTTGCATTTCTTTAATGGCTAGTGAGAATAAATGCCTTTTCAGCAGCCCAGCACACTCAACGACATGTTTACCCAAGAGAAACCCAGGATGGGAGAGAAGGATGGTTTCCCAGAGACAGCAAAGGTCACAGTCTTACTAATGAGTGCTGCAATGTATAAGGCACTTGACAGCCACATTATTTGACCCTCATAAAAACAATGCAGGGAATAAGGCAGGTACTGTTAGCTCCATTTTACAGAGGGGGGGAAGTGAATCTCACTGGGGCATTGCGGCTATAATATGAATGGTCTAGAGCACCCCCCAGGACAACAGGCAGCTTCCGAACTGCACAGAGCTTGGGCCCCTGGTTGGAGGAGAGGCTGACCCAGGAGGGTGCATCTTAGGCTGGGAGGACAAGGCACACTCACTTTGTGACTGGTCCCAGCAGAGAAGGTAGGGTTCTTGGTGCCCCTCAACCAGCTGCTGCAGCTCAGAGACACTGGGGGAAGAGGAGATTGCAGTGGGGGTGGAGGACAGCAAAGGCAGGTGTGCCCATCCAGCCACTGAATAGCCACCCACGGTGAACCAAAATGATCTATGCTTCACCCAGGCCCCCTCGCTTCCTCGCTCCCTCAGCCTTACCCACACCCCCAAATCCATCCTTTCTTCCTGTTTGCAGTCATGTCCATCCTCCCCATCTGCCCATCCTTCCCTCACCCACCAAACACATCCCTTACATCGGCTTCATGTTTTATACCCTCTCCTCCCTCACACACCCACAATGACCCCAGGCCTGTTCAGCAGCAATGAAGAACCGAGCAGAGAGGCAGGGCCTTGCCAGGGAGGCCAGTATGTAACCGGAGTGAGGGGCGTGTTTGGGGAGTGTGGGTGGCGGTGGTGATGAGCGGGAGATGCCAGGCCACTCACCTGGAGACCAAGCGGTGTAGGGGGACCCCCAGGGATAGAGACGGAGTTGGCCAGAAACCTGTGGGAAGCTGGGGTCAGGACACTTAGGCAGTGGGAGAGGCTGAGGCACAGAACCCGAGACCAGGGGTGGGGTCACCTGTCCACAGCGGCTCCATGCGGTTGGCTGTGGTGGGGTCGAGCACCTCTCCCCTCTGAAGGTAGTGCTTTAGGACCAGCCGGAGCCGGCCTTCGTTCAAGGTCTCCATGACCAGGGCTCGGACTGCACGGTAGTTGGCGTAGATGTGGAGGGCAGTGAGGAAGAAGAAACATCCGAAGCTGAAGCTGGGGCGAGAGAGTGAGGTAGCCGAGGAGGGCAGAGGCCCAGCTGGGGCTCTCCTGCCCACCCTGCTCCCGGCTTACCCAGGGAAACCTGATACCAGAGGGAGCATCAGGAGGCTGACCAGGAGCCCTGCCAGGTTCACCAGCGTCTCCTGGAAAATGGCAGAGGGGCTAGGAGTTGGAGGGTGCCCTCCAGGCCAGACTGAGTACCCCTAAGTGCCTTTTAACCCATCCTCCCTGCTCCACAACCTCCCAGGGCTCCCTAGTGCAATGGGGGTAAATTTTTAGTTTTTGGTGAGTGAACTGACATTTGTGAGCTTGAGGTGACTCATGCCTGTAGTACCAGCACTTTGGGAGGCTGAGGCAGGCAGATTACTTGAGTCCAGGAGTAAGACCAGCCTGAACAACGTAGTGGGACCCTCTCTACAAAAACATTTTAAAATTTGATGGGGTGCAGTGGTGCACACCTACTGTAATACTAGCAATTTGGGAGGCTGAGGTGGGCAGATTGCCTGAGCTCAGGAGTTCAAGACCAGCCTAGGCTGAACACAATGAGACCCCGTCTCTATTAAAATACAAAAACTTAGCCAGGTATGGTGGCACAGGCCTGTAGTCCCAGCTACTCAGAATTGCTTGAACCCAGGAGGCAGAAGTTGTAGTGAGCCGAGATCACACCACTTCCCTCCAGTGGGACAATAGAGCAAGACTCCATCTCCAAAGAAGAAAAAAAAAAATTTAAAAATTAGCCAGGTATAGTGAGAGGCTGAGGTGGGAATATTGCTTGAGCTCGGGAGGTCGAGGCCAGCCTGGGTGACATAGTGAGACTCCAACTCTTCAAAATACAAAAAAACAAAAAAACTAGCTGGGTGTGATGGCATGTGCCCGTATTCCCAGCTACTCAGGAGGGTGATGAGCCCAAGAGGTCAAGGATGTAGTAAGCCATTATTGCAATACTGTACTCCAGGCTGCGAGGCACAGTGAGACCCTATCTAAATATATGTGTCAGTTGCTTCTTTGACCTGGTAGGTACAATGTCCTTAGAATACCCTTGAACATGTCTTCTTTGTTTTGCAAGTCACCAGAATAGTTCCACACTCAGGCACTCACTAACGTGAGTCCTTTTTTTTTTTTTTTAAAGATAGGGTCTCGCTCTGTCACCCAGGCTGGAGTACAGTGGTGCAATCATAGCTCATGGCCACCTCAAACTCCTGAGCTCAAGGGATCCTGCCACCACACCTCCACTAATTATTACTACAATTTTTGGTAAAGATGGGTCTTGCTATATGGCCCAGGCTGATCTTGAAACTCCTGGGCTCAAGTGTTCCTCCCCTCAGCTTCCCAAACGTGCTGGGATGAAAGGCAGGAGCCAGAAGAACTTTTTTTTTTTTTTTTTTTTTTTTTTTTGAGACGGAGTTTCGCTCTTGTTACCCAGGCTGGAGTGCAATGGCACGATCTCGGCTCACCGCAACCTCCGCCTCCTGGGTTCAGGCAATTCTCCTGCCTCAGCCTCCTGAGTAGCTGGGATTACAGGCACGTGCCACCATGCCCAGCTAATTTTTTTTTTTGTATCTTTAGTAGAGACGGGGTTTCACCATGTTGACCAGGATGGTCTCGATCTCTCGACCTCGTGATCCACCCGCCTCAGCCTCCCAAAGTGCTGGGATTACAGGCTTGAGCCACCGCGCCCGGCCGGAAGAACTTTTATTTACTGATTTTAAAAAGCTGACTGCTCCCCTCCCTTGAAGCTCCCTTGGTATGCCATAAGGGGCAGATAAATTTGCAAAGGGGTCAAGGAATCACCTGGGAAGGAACAAGACCCACACCTCTTCCCTTGCGTATCAATGTGATGAGAACACTCTGATGGCTGGATTGTGATCACCCTAGGGACAGAGACCCCAGGCTACCTGCCCCCAACTCATCATGAGGGAGGAGTCTGGACTGGTGCCCCTGACTAACTGGGCTCCTAGGGAGAACTGGTCCTGGCACAGAGAG